TTTCTATTATTTTTAGTGAATTATGTTTCATAAATATTGTTTTACTTATGATTGATATAAAATATTTTTTCTCCTAAATGTTTTTTTTCAAAAACATTAAATTTTATTATTTATTATTTTATGGGGTTAGGTGGAACTTACTTAGCATTGTTGCTAATTTTTGTTTTCTTTTGTTTTTCTTTATGTACTTGATTTTGTACAGGTGACGCTTTGATGATGATGTTGACTTCGAGAGAGCTTCCGCTAGAAAACATAGTTAGTAAATCATTGTAATTCCATTTTCAATATCTTTAGTTAGTGAATAATTATTTTTGGAGTTTAAGTTGTTTTAGCCTGTGCACTCGGTTAAGGGAGAATCGAGTGTGGCGGTAACGCCTCTATTTCCCTTTTGGTTTTCCGCTGCATAACTCTGATGTTTTTGAATAAAGTTAATATTTCTTTTGAATAAAGTAGTATTTTTGGGTGGGAAATTTGGGGGTGTTACAATGGTGATTCACCACAGGAAGAAATACAGGACAATGTTCATGTTGCAGGCTATATTAAGAGGAATAAAAGGGAGGACCAACCAGCACAGATGGACTCTGATGCAAATGAAGACACTACTGAATATGACTCATCCAATGCTCCTACTATTACTTATGAGCATGAAGAAGATGAAGTTGAGTCTAAGAGGCCACATATCAGATTTCCTTGTTACAATCTTGAATCAGACCCACCCCATATTGAGTTAGAGATGTTGTTTGAAGATGGTAAACGATTCAAACAAGCAATAATTAGATATGTTTTGGCTGAGAAAAGAGACCTTAGGTTTAAAAAAACGAACCAGGAAGAGAAAGACTCAAATGTGCACCTAACTGCCCTTATACCATCACTACTAGCTGGGAGAATACATTAAAATGTTTCCACGTAAAGGTGCTCAATCCAGAGCATTTGTGCAATTTGAAGTACAAGCTGAAAATTGTAAGTCAGAAGTGGCTTGCTGAAACATTTGAAGACAAAGTTATTGAGAATCCGGGGATGGGTGCTGTAGAACTTAAAAATTTCATAAAAGCTGATGCAAATTAAAAATCAATGTTTCTGTGAGTATGGCAACAAGGGCTTTGAGAGAGATTCAACAGAAAGCTAAAATTTCTTTTAAGGACCAATTCAAGAAACTGAGAAGTTATGTTTAGGATTGCCTGAAGTCTGTTCTAGATACCACAGTTGTTATAAAAACAAGGCGAAAGGGTCAAATAGGCCCTTGAACTAACTTAAAGTGTTCAATTAGCCCCTTATATAGGAGGTTCGTCCCGGCCATCGCCAATTGGGGAGGTTCCCGGTTGAATTTTTTGATGAAATTTTTTGAGCATCTTCTTCATTAAGTCTAGTTTATTCGTATCAAATTTCAGCTAAAAATTAAATCGGGAAGGCAGTCAAATGATTTTCCGAAATGTATTGCGTTGTTTAACTGCACAGTTATCTTCAAAAAATCATTTGACTGCTTTCCCGGTTGAACTTTTAGCTGAAATTTGGTATGGAGAAACTAGACTTAATGAAGAAGATGCTCAAAAGAATTCATCAAAAATTCCACCGGGAACCGCCCCAATTGGCGACGGCCGGGTAGAACCTCCTATATAAGGGGCTAATTGAACACTTTAAGTTAGTTCAAGGGCCTATTTGACCCTTTAGCCTAAAAACAGTGAGAGTGGTCCCTGAAGCTCCATGTGTCATTGAACGCATCTATATTTGTTTTGGGCCTGTCAAAAGAGGGGGTTTAGAAGGCTGTATGAAGATTATTGGTTTAGATGGTTGTTTCTTGAAAGGACAACTAAAAGGAGAGATATTAACCGCTGTAGAAAGAGATGCTAACAATCAAATGTATCCGGTTGCTTGGGCAGTCGTTGAGAAAGAGAACAATTTATCTTGGACTTGGTTTTTAGAGCTGTTGAAGGAAGATCTGCAAATAACCATTCCTGCAGAGTGGACCTTAATTAGTGATCTACAAAAGGTTAGGCCTTTACTATACATAATACATTTGGGGTGTTAAATACATTTTTGTGTACATTTAACCTTTATTTACCCCCAATATTCATTTGAATAATTGCTGTCGGGGATTTCAAATGCCATAACAACTGTTTTTCTCGATTCTGAGCACAGGAACTGTGCAAGGCATATACATGCCAACTGGAGCGAAAAGCATAGAGGTATGGTACTGAGGAAACATTTCTGGAAGTGTGCAAAGTCCACAACCGAAGCCCAACTGCAGGCATCATTAGAAGAATTGGATAAGGCAGATGGTGAGGCTTGTAGAGACCTGCGAAAATATCCATTCAGACTGTGGTGCAAAGCCTTTTTAAGAACAGAGGTAAAGTGTGACACAGTAGAGAATAACTTATCTGAGGCTTTCAATAGCACCCTCATCAAATGCAGAGAAAAGGCTTTGATTCCAATGTTGGAGGACATTAGAGTTGCTACGATGAAACACATTGCCAAGAAAAGAAAATATGTTCTAAGAAGGCCAGGTAAATGTAATTACAACATGTATTTAAGGTTGATATGTTATAAATCTAACCTTATGTTTTTGTAAAAATTTATTACAGGTCCATTTGGTCCAATGATAATGAAGAAGCTCAATAAAAATATTGTCGCAAGTGAGGGTTGGCATGTAGAGTTTAACAGGGATGATGGTTAAAAGATCAAGAACGGCAGAATGCATTTCAAAGTTAGCCTACAGAATAGATCATGCTCCTGCAGAAGATGGGATCTGTCTGGTATCCCTTTTGCACATGCCATATGTGCAATTTTTGATAAGTGTACCACCAGAATCTTATGTAGATAGCTGATATTCCAAGGATTTGTACCAGAAAACATACGCACTATGAATCCAATAGATGGGAGCTATTATGGCCAAGGACTCAGCATGAGGAAATCTTATCTCCCATTCCAAAGAAAATGAGTGGAAAAGAGTTGTAGAACAAAGTGAAGCCCCAGCAGTTCATAGCACACAAATGACAAGGGAAGGTAGAATTATGAAGTGCTCAGTTTGTAATGGAGAAGGCCACAACAAATCATCTTGTCAGAGTAAGAACACTATCACTGAGACAGGAACAGGAACATCAACCCCAATAGGTGACCATGAGGAAGACCATGGCAGAGCTCAAGTTACAGCTAAAAGGAAATCACAAAAGAGGAAACCTACCGGGGGAGGGGAAGATAGAGAGGAAGAGGACAAAGGGGCTTTGATGTATATGTGAATGAAGAAAATGGTGAAACAATTTTAGAGGTAACATAATGAATTGAGAATGTTGTAATTTTCTGAAATTTGAAATTAAAACTGAAATGTAATTGATTTGGGCTTACCTCATTGCAACCTGGACAAAGAGGAGAATAAGTGCTCACTGAAGAAGGTTGCAGCCGTGGGAGAGAAGGGAATTGATTTGGATCAGTGTAGAAGATTGTGTAGATGTAGGAAAGTAGTTGGAAGACATTATGGGTTGTGTGGCTTTAAATGGTCATGGTTGTATCGTATCATGTCACTCACATTATTGGTGTAAAGTGTACCCTTTTTTTGGAAGTACAATGATGGGTGTTAGAATTGCTTTATGTCTGTAAAGTGAGGGTGCATTTATTCGAAATGTGTTCCTTTTGCTAAACAAGTTATCTGCTTTTTTTTTGCTGACAAACTCATGTGCTTTTGCTGTAATGGATGCTATGGATTATGGATTATTGTTAACATTATGGATTATGGATTATTGAGGGTTCAGTTTAACATCTTATTGAGGTTCAGTTTAACATCTTATTGAGGGTGCTTTTGCTTTTTGTAACTAATGTGGTTTAGCATCAGTTTAACACTTGAATTTGGTATTGTAAGTCATGTGGTTTTGCATCAATTTTGTACTACTTTCAACTAAAGGACATTGGCACATTAATAGGTAACCACTTCAATTCATAGTTTCATACATACAAATTTCAAACATCGGTCATGACTAAGATAACAGGTTTTAAACATTACAAACACCACACAATTACAATGTCATTACATAACCACAAATCACCATTACATCTGCAATCTCACACCCAGCTTACTAGTACATATCACCTTTTCTAACATTAGCACAAAGCACGGCTAGAACACATGCTACAAACATCATAGCTATTCCAAACAAAATCCTATAAAATCTGGCAGCTTTGGCTTGTTTTTTAACTTCACTTGCAAAAGAACCAACATCTCTGTGTAAAGCGCCTAATCGATGAACAACACCTTCAAGCATGCGCTGCCATTCTTCCGGACTTTAGGGTCTCTTCTCACCATAAACTGTGCCTTTTGTTTCTTCAAAATCTTTCCACATAAAAAAACCACACCCATGCCCCTGAAATACACAGTCAAAACCAATTACAAAAGAAATCAGAATTACTACATCTCATTGATACAGAGGATATAACTATTCATTGTATATTAAGAATGATCATAATAATTTCATTACCTTCCATTTTTGACACCCATAAAATTGTCTCTCACTCTCTCGCCTTACACAAAGAGGAGCTTTCAACCCACACCAACAGTAAATGGCCGGTTCGTATTGTAGAGTTGTGCTTCTTCCCTTAGCAGATGTTGACGCTAACGAAGAAGACATGCCTTTTCAGGGAAGAAACGTCGGAGAAGAAGACCAGCCTGCGAACCTGCGACCTCCAATCTTTACGCGATGGTGATAATTGATAAATAATAAAGGACATATTGTTAGGTATGGATGTGACCAACTTTATTAACGGAGAGTAAATGGGTAAAAACCTCCACGCAGGCACCACGTAAGATTCCAAAGTGGAAGGGAACCTGATCACCGGTTGGGAACCCGTTGAAAGGAGTTTTTTGGGTGTTTTTTGGCACTAGGTGGTTTTAATTGGTCATTTTACAACTACGAGGGCTTAATCGATTTTTTTGTCATAGTAGGAGGGTCTATCTGACAGTTTTCCCTTGATAATAATACTCTAACTAGCAACATACTCCGTAGTTTTTAGAGGCTGTTACAATGGTTATATGGATAAATAATGGATATGAAGTTATGAACCTAATAGGAATCCGAAATTCAAAATACTACTAATGCTATGATAACTATATTATTAAAAAAAACTGCACTACTATTTGAACTGTGATAACTATATTACAAATCTAAAAACCGTTTATGATAAACAAAAAAACTCCCAAACATGGTTGTGATTAGCCTATCTATGACTTAATCCATCGATCTAGGAAAACTTCAAACCCCACGCTCTATAATCATTTCAGCAGCCTTGGCCATTCCACCCACCCCGCTGACTCCAAGAAGGGCCACAGCCAACTCCTCCTCTTTCCACTGCTTTAGCCCCTGGCTCAGCTTCTTCACAACCGCAACATCAACCTCCCTCACCCAGTTTGGTGTGGAAACCACCATCGCACTAACAAACCCTGAGAGATACGCTCTCCACGTGGCTTCATTACACCCCAGGGATATCTTCCCATCCAATGCACTTACAAGAAACTCCATGTGCCTCACGAGAACCTTGGATCGCCTAGAACCAGGTGAAAGCACTGGTTCCACCCCCATCGCAAATGCTAAGCAAAGCACCGTGAAATACGCGAGCGCATATCCCCTCAACATTTCGACTCCAGTTTGGGGTTCCGGTTTCTGAACGGATATGAACCACGAGGGTAAAGTTTCTTTTATCAGAGATTGGACTAAACTCAAACCGCCGGTTATCCAAACCAAAGACGCCCCTAGTGAAGCTGCTACCTTGAGACGGGTCATAGCTGCTGCAAGTGAAACCTGACCATATCTCAACCCATATTTCGTTTTCTTGAGCTTCTCAAGGTTCTCGACTGGTAAGCCGCTGTTTGAAATGTCTTCAACAGAACTTATCACAAGGGAAATAATCTCCTCTGTCATAAACAAGGTGTTCCTAACGCATCTATGGACACGCAAGTACATTATTCCAGGAGCAACAGGACATGTACCACTAGATAAATGAGAGACGAATCCGTGACCAAGAAGTGCACCTACCCCACCACTGCTTGCTGTGATGGAACTGTTTAACCCAAGGGTGGCTTTGAAGCAGACCCTAAGAAGTTGGACAACGGCATCACTGTTGTGGTGGAATACGGTACGGGATGCAGAGAACGTAAGATAGTCACTCCACCGCTTTATCTTCTGGCCCCAAAGGGAGACGATGATGGGCATAGATGGCCAGGGACAGACGGTGCCCAGATTACTCATGGAACGTCCCACAAAGTTGAGAAAGCGCTCGGTATCTCTGTCAAGTTTGTAAGTTATGGTGAAACTGAGAAGCACTGCCAGGGGCAGTGGTAGAGTAGAAATGGAGCTTCCACCTATATGGATGAAACAAAGTGTTGAAATATGGTGAGATGCTATGAAGAATGACATTTTTTATTACAAATACAATCATGATATCTTGATATAAATAAACTCAACATATTAAAAGGGTCCTTTGAGAATTGAAACTAATGAAACTGTTAGAAAAGAATTGATGACAACATAGGGGAAATTTGGGGGGAAAGAAAAGAAAATGTTGTTCAAACTCAATAAATTTATTTTTAATATTTTTTCATGCTCATTATATACATAAATTTACACACAAACATATATAAATGCTGATATAGATACATAATTTTTTAATAAAAATGGGAAATTAATAACGGAATATAAACATACATAGAGATGCACACACATATTCCGTTATATTTAGGCTAATCAATTCAAACATGTGTAATAAAAATTTAAAACATTAGTCATATATGATATATCTATCATTTCCCTATGCATTTTTTGAGGTAAAACCAAAAGAAAAATACATTGGAAATTTGAAAGGGAAGGGAATTAAACATAGGCTCAAACTCAATAAACTTATCTTTATATTATTTTCACACTCATTATACATACATATATGTGTATATATAAATAAATAAATAAATAAATATATATATATATATATATCCCATTATATAAAGGTGATGAAATTAAATGTGTGCAATAAAAGTTGAAAACATTTGTCATATATCTATCATTTCCATATTCATTTTTGAGGTAAAACCAAGCAAAAGAAAATAACTTTTCTTACACTTTTTTCCCTTTCCCTAGGAGTAAAGGGTCGGTTTGGTCCTCGAAGTTGCATAAAAGGGGTCAAATAAGTCCTTATATAGAAGATTCTGTCCGGACGTGATATTTGAGGCGGTTCCCGGTGGAATTTTTTGATGAAATTTTGTGAGCATCTTATTCATTAAGTCTAGTTGACTCATACCAAATTTCAGCTAAAAACTCAATTGGGAAGGCATTCAAATGAATTCTTGAAGATAACTGCGCTTTTAACTGCACAAATATCTTCAAGAATTCATTTGAATGTCTTCCCGATTGAATTTTTATCTGAAATTTGGTATGAGTGAACTAGACTTAATGAATAAGATGCTCAAAAAAATTCATCTAAAAATTCCACCGGGAACCGCCCCAAATGGCGACCGCCGGATAGAACCTCCTATATAAGGACTTATTTGACCCCTTTTATGCAACTTCGAGTACCAAACTGACCCTTTACTCCTTTCCCTAGCATTTTCTGGGATACCAACATATGCCTCAAGGAACAGAGGAGAGGGGGTAGCTTCTCCAACAAAGCAATCGGTATGGGTGATTGGAGTAAAATAAGTTCATACATACCTACAGCAAGACTTGGGACATGAACACCGGTAGTTGCTAATGAATTCTTTATCTGCAGTTCAACTGAAGCTAGATTAGCAGCAGGACTTGGCCAATCAGTTCCATTCATGGGTGCAGGCTTCCAAACTCCTCTTGTTACTTCAGCTGAGAAGTAACTTACTATTATTGCCAAAGAAGCAGGAAGGAAATCAGCAAGGTCCTTAATCCCTGAGATAAAAATGTCCATGGCTGTAAGTTTTAACATTTAAATTGTATGGCAGCAATAAAATAAAAATGAGAAGAAGTTGAAGTTAAAGTTAAAGAAGAAAGGCCACTGTCTATGGCATTCATTTGCTTTTAGTGTGAAGCTATTGATGCTGTTTCCTTTTAAAGAGAAAGTAGATTATGAGTATTGCCTAAATCTTTTCAATTTTATCCTTGAAGAGAGATTTGGCAAAGGAGCAAGCTAGATTTATGGGTGTAGGGCAACCCAATAATGCCCCCTGGATGTGAAGATGCTATGGGTAGCAAATGGATGGATCAGATATTTGTTCATTCAGATAGATGGGTTGAAATAATCCAGTTATGATCCATGAAGAATTCGTTAACAACAACTCAACCCATCCTTGATCCATTGAATTTAATAAAATACATCATCATCAACATTTTTACTGATGGATATTTAATCCAGCCATTTTGAAAATTACTTTTCATATGCACATAGATGCTGAACTATGGATATAATGGTGGGTTAGTATTTTTTGTTAAGAATGGACTATGGAGTGATAACTCATTATAAATGTATCAGGTTGCAATGGATTTATAATTTTTTTAAATGTGATCCACAATGGATTATGAAAGCAGTTATTGGATCACTAACTAAGCAATCAACCATAAACGACATAATTACAAATGGATGATTTGAATCGAATTAATAATATCCACTTTTTAAAGATGCGTTTACCACTTGATGGATAACAAGATGAATGATGAACTAATGAACTCTTTTTATATACAACAATCAAACCAACTTTACATCCCATTTATCCAAGCCAGCAGCATAGACTTCCCTTAAGGAGCTCAACCCAAAACACTTCAATAATATGAAGAAAATGTTCAACTGATACTCAACTAACTTACCTGTAGCTAGTTCACGAGGTGAAAGCCTTCCATGGGCACAGGCCGTTAAGGCCGCATCAAGCGCAAAGGGAACCGCCTCTAAAATATCCCATGCGGGCAATTTAAGACGGGTAGATAAATCTTCACCACCAGGCCCAGATGAATTACTGCTTCCAGAAGCAGTGGGTGTAAGAGGCTGTCCACCCCTGCTTAGATTTCTGAACATGAAATTCAACAATGCTTCCACAATTTCATGAACAGGAGTTCCATGTTCAAGACCAGAAAGGGTTGAACACATACATGCCATATTTTGCCTGTACCAACATTTTAACTTTGGAAATGAGTCCATAAATATAGGTTCTCTATGCCACGGATCTAAAAGCCTTGAAAACCGCTTGCACTTGATTTGATCGTTTGATGAATTTTCAGTTGCAGCCAGCTGACGGTTGCGCACCAATAATAAATACTCAGGAGTTACATGGGACCCCACTGGGCATAATTCCCCATTTACACTTTCAAATGGCGGCTCATCAAATCTCCATAACCTTAGCAGAAGAGTGAATGCATTTGAAAATACCATATGGGATGATAATTCTTCCCTGGTAAGAGCCCAAGAAATGGTGGGTGCACAAGAACCAAAGACTTCACAGATTGGCATCAGTGCAGCAGCAAGTTGTGGGACCTAGTGAGAGAGAAAGAGAGAGAAATCATTACATATTACACCATTGACCTACTTCAGAATTCAAAACTTGCTAGATTTTCTCAATAAAAAATAAGAAAACAATTATGTCAGATAGGAGAGGACTCCATTATTACCGTGTGACCAAGTTCAATTACTATTACTTGATAGTGAAAATAACTTCAGAATTAGAAACTGGAATTTGAAGTTCAAGTGTTCCACCTACCAATCCATGCAAGGAATAAATCTGTATACCATCAATAGATGATATTCCGACAAGAAGGACATTCAGAAAAGCAGCATAACGTATCAAATGGCTTTCACTTCCAGTGTATTCTTTAGGAATGGGAGGTGAAAGCAGTCTTGTGATGAACATCACAACGTGCTCCTGCAAGCACAGAAAGAGCGTCATAATGGAACTAAGAAATTTCCCTTTACCTTGATATGTACTACGCACTAAATAAATACATTTTAAAAAATAAATTAATAAAGTACTTCAAGACAATTAACTTTAACAAGATAAGAAAACATACAACAACAACAACAACATCCAAGCCTTAGTCCCAAAAGATATTGGGGTCGGCTAACATGAATCGATACATGATATCACCACCAAAAGGAAAAGAAAGAAAATAATGAATCCTAAATTAGAACAATATGGACAGGGACTTGGTAAGTCAGTGGCGATTGTCTACATTTATTCCAAAGATCTATTAAGTAGTACATATTACCTGTATATTCCAACCACGGGTAAGAGATGCTCCACAGAGAACTGTTGCAGCAGAAATTTTCTCATCATCAGAACCACTTACCGCGAACTCATATATTTTCTCCAATTCCGCTAAACTTTCATCACACATAACCAAAATTTAGGTGCATTACAAATTGCATGAATGCAGAAAAATCATTCTTATAAACCCAACCTTATGTCGAAGAGTGACCACAGTGTAGTGAAGGGCTCAAAAAAGTAACTATATGATTTAAATGTGATTCTCTAAAAAACTAGGAAAACCAAATCTCAGAATTGGCAGTGCCTACCAAACAATTTAGGTGTTAAAGTCACATTAGTAGAGAGAAACGAACAGGCTTTTCCCTTCAAAATCATCATGTCTCATTGTAGCATTGTGACTGCCCATACAGCACACCAGAAGGCTCACTTGCATGATACAAGTAGTGTATCAGTAAAAAAAAGTAGTAATTGCGCAAAAAAATCATCCACATTTGATTAAATAGATTAAATATCTCCACCGAACTGTGTATTACAAAACACTTGGTATGAAAAGACATCACCAAATTTTCACGCCGTTCGTACTTCTGCTTTGAGCTCTTCTTCTCATTCTACATCTTACTCCCTCCGTCCCTTATAACTTTGCCAACTTTCCTTTTTTGGATGTCCCAATAACTTTGCCACTTTCCCATTTAAGTAAAGAATTTGTGGTTCCAGTTAATTATCTAATTCTCTATCCTCTGCACAAACCTCGACCACACAATTTTTACTTTATTAATCCCCGTGTCGATCAAATTTGACAAAGTTATTAGGGACGGAGGGAGTAATAGATTGTCCCATTTATTTCATATGACAAGAAAACTACGCAATTATTTTAAGCGCCTGATTACATATATCATCAATAACTTGCATTAAGTGCATGATGAAATATAACAAAGGGACTTAAGGACGCAAGACAACTGCAACTTGTCATACCTTGAGGCTGGGGTAGAAACCAGCATACTCATCATTGGAGGAGTTAAAGGAGACCCTTTCATCAATGAAGACCAGCCAGGTGTTTGGCCTGAAATGCCACATGGTATTTGATTGCATCGGCCTTTTACATATCCAGGCCAGAAATACGCAGATGTATCCAGAATATTTCTGGCAATACAAGCCTCAACAACCAGGTGTCGCAAGTTTCCAACTACAGTAAACCACAAGATCACTGGAACCAACATTTATATGGGTGACTATCTTCAAAGTGTATTGGGAAAGAAAGGAAATGCTAACCGCAGTTCGAAGGCATGTCATTCAAGCTCATGCCATCAAAGTATCCACTGGAAACAGTGAGACCTGAAAGAAACATCATCGCTTTTGCAGCGGCTTGATTTGCCACTGAAGCTAACTGTAGTGGTGGAGACAACAAACCTTCATAATCATCCAACTGTTTTAGACTTGAAACTAAGTCTTGACGACGCTTTCCTAAACAATTCTTTCCTTGATTAGCATGAAGGAGTTCCCTTTCTTCTTCCTCAATAATGTTTACAACTGCAAGTGGTGTAATAGATAACAGCATGCATAGGCACGTATCAAGACGTGGTACTGGTCCTTCAGATGAATGTCTTTCCTAAAGGATAAGAAATAATACCAGATATTAAGTATGATTCCAAATACACTAATACAATAAGGTTTAAGACAATAAGGTTTAAATATATTTTTAAATACAGTATTTTTTGCTTTAGGTCCCTCTACAATGATTTCTTTTCTGTTCATCCATGCAATTGATGTTATTTTATTTTTAGGCCATCTCTAACTCTCTAGCAACCTATGCTTATGAACAAAACTGACATGACTAACAGAATTCCAGTTTTGCTTATTTGTGTTATAATAATTCTCAGAAATACTAGATACCTTGATGTCAGAGAGCCACCTAGACCTATACTAAGAGTGTGAATAACATGTTTCACTTAGCCTTTTTTATGATGAGAGGGTCCTGGACCTTTGGCCTGAATAATCTCATGGATCCTAAACTTAACATCCGGTTAACCTCACTGGCCCTCTGCAGGAGTCGAACTCTGGTAGCTACAGGAGATAATCTTTTACTCTTGGGTTCAAGCTAGTATAACAACCCCAGAGGGTTATTTAGCTCAGCCTTTCTCAAATTAGTCTCCAAAGAGTTACAAAATTAGAAATATAGAAGTAGAGTTACACGAGCAACAATTTTTTTCCTAATACCAGAGTTAGTCAGGGGCTAAAGACCAACAAAAATTGCAGCACCCGAAAACCAAACGAAAAAATCGCATAGATCTAAAACAAAGAATGCTTTATTTGCAGGAAAAAAAAACATATTTAAATTAAACATATATTAATGAATTTAAAGTTCACTCACTCTTTGAACAAGCCGCAGTGCCGCAGCCCATAGCCCAAGAAATGTGTCATGCCAAGTGGTACAGTTAACTGCCTGAAGAGCCTTCACTAGAACTGAAATACTAAAGCAGTTAGCATTATGATAAAAGTAAAGTATAACTGTATAACTTTACTACAACAGTAGAACGGCAATACTGATCCAGTGAACAATGAAAAAGGAAGAAAATGCAACTACTTGAGAGTGAACCAAAGAAATGTTGTAGTTACCAGTAAGTGTTTCGGCAGCGCTTGTAGCTAACACTTGTGACCCATCTATGGAATCTTCAAGAAAGAGATCGATGGGCAGCCAGTAAGCTGATGGGCTGGTTCCATGACTTCGGCTGGGACAAGATACAAGTGAAGATCCAACTACTGCATTCATCCGGTGAAGTGTGCTTTTTTTACCTTCCCTTGACAGGAACACATCTGTATCTGATGTTAACTGCAAAAGAGCCTCTGGTGAAACACTTCTTGAATTTCTCAAAGCTATTGAATTTGAGGCAAGCAACTGCACGTGCTTGATAAAGGGCTCCCAATAAGAAGGCCTAATGACAAAAAAAATAGAGCAATTATATGTGTATGACCAAAACAAGAAGAAATAGATGCAAGAATAAAAAATGATTTTACTCAAAAGGAAAAGAAAAACATAGAACACGCTAAAAGAAACTGTGAAAAACATGTTTTTAAAGTCAGATTAATAGGATCATCACAGTTGGATTAACAAAAGACCATTAAAGAGAAAATGCAAAAATGTATACAATCCTACATGTTCCTTCGCACCAAGAATAATACTCTGGAAGTCACTTTGTTCCGGAAAAATTCACAAAGCAATTCAGTGGCCATTATAGTATTCTTTTTAGACAATAACTCATATTGTTCTGCTCGTTTCCCATTAAATGCATCATGATTGTCTATCTCCATATCTTGTGTTCTCATTGACCACATAGATTCCTTTTCAGCTGAGAGCTCCAGCAATCCCTCATCATCGAGTGAAGCATCAACTAACTCCCTCACAATTGTAAAAATAAAAGCCACAATAAACAACCCAAATTCACTATCTGGGAGCCCAAAAGCCTGGGAAAGATTAAGAATCTCGTTGATGGACTCCATTGTCCTGCATTTTCATATTTAAATGTGTCCCAATTAAATAATATCAGACTGAACGTAATGGTGACTTTATAATCATCCAAATAAACATATATATTATATGTGTGAGTTTTTTTACAATAGTAAAGGGGCAAGTTGACCGTACTGTTGATAATGCGGAGCATTAATCTGAGACTTCAATGAGAAGATATATCTTTTCAAAAGTTCCATATACAGTCTATAGGCCACAGGATAGATCTTTCTGTTAGGGATAACTCTGCAGTAAAAACAACACTAGCTAAACTCAGACCACTGCGAGTAGTAAAATGAGTTTACAAACCATTGTGTATCGCAGAAGGTAAGAAGAAAACGAAGAAGAAGACCTGGTAGAGAGGAGAGCAAGAGCAAAGAGGGGAGGGACAACCCTGAGCGTCAAGCACTTCTCGAGATATTTCCAAGCAATAGGGACGTTATTGGACCAACATATGTGGGAGACGAGGATAGTGGCGAAGTCGGTGGAGGGAATGGAAACGCCGGCGGCGTTGAGCGTAGATGATATCTGCAGAGCGTACACCAGGGGGTCGGCCGCCCTGTCCTGACCCAATTTAGTGAGCTCCAACACCGTGTCCCATGGGCTGGCCATTGCAGACACCACCGCCATGAGAGGCTCGATTGCTCCCTAGGATTGGATTAATTTCACGAAATGGCAAAGCTTTCATGCGCGTCGCCTGAAATTTTGTTTTCCAAAAAATAGTCTTGGAGAGTCTCGTTATGTGTTCGAGGAGGAGAAAAATGGGAAACCCGGTCAAAATAGGAGGCAGTAAAAACTGAAAAGCAAGGAAAAGCTAATTTGATTATTGGGGTTTGTCCTCAAATAATAATAATTAAAAGCATTTGGACAAAAAAAGAGACTTTTCCTTTAAGTTCCAAAAATAAGACTAAATAATACTTAAGGGACTATTACACCCTTACTAAGCCCAAACCCACTGGCTTGCTACAGTAACTCGTCACAGTGACCAAATGTGCAGTGACCAATGACATAGTTACAAAATTCATCCAGTGACCAAAAATAATTAGTGACCAAACATCCAAAATTCCTCAGTTACCAAAAATCATTAGTGACCAAACATCCAAAATTCACCAGTGACCAAAAATTATTAGTGACCAAACATCCAAAATTCACCAGTGATAAAAAAATTTTAGTGACCAAACATCCAAAATTCACCAGTGACAAAAAATCATTAGTTACCAAAATTTCTGTCCAATAACATAGTGACTTTCACCCGTTTAACGACCTACGTCCATCCGTCCAGTGACAGTTACCCGATCCGTCCAGTTACAGTTATCTGACTCGTTCAGTTACAGTTACAGTTACCCGACGCGTCAAGTTACCCGACCCGTCCAGTTACAATTACCCGATCCGTCCAGTTACAATTACCGGACCCATTCAATTATGACCCGTCTAGTTATAATTACCCAACCTGTCTAATTATAATTACCCGATTTTGACCATAGTTATTCAATCCAAGCAATTGTCATTATCGGTTCAATTGTTTACTTTTACTGACCATCACTCCAGCCACCACCGATGAGGACCACCTCCGGCGACAACCGGCGACCACCATTGGCTGGCAACCGTCGATGAACACCACCTCCGTCCACCGCCAACAGCCACCACTGCCAGCACCACGTCATAGCTCCCTGTCTCACCCCACCCCTCCCCTGCTTCACCCCAGCCCCCTCCCAAGCGCCACGCCACCCCTGCCACACCTAGGCCTCTTCCCTGTGTCACCCCATTAGTCCTCAGCCCACACAAAGACCCTCCATGGTCCACGCTGTAGCCTCCAACACCACCGCTCGAGATGGCGGTGGAATCTGAGGGACAGAGGAGGCGAATCAAAAGTTTGGTGGCGGAGGCGGCGATTCGAAGCTGGGTGGCGGCGCCGACGAGCGGAGGCAGAGCGACGGAGGCGGAGAATCAAAGTTGAGCGGCGGCAGCGACGAATCAAAGTTGGTGGTAGCAACGAATCGAAGCGGGTGGTAGCGACAACAAGTTGATGACGATCGGATATATGAGAGAGATGATCTAGCTAGGGATTCAGAGTTGAGAACTCGAGCGACCAGATCTCAAAATGGGAGAATTTGAGATGCTAGGGCTGTTTTAATTTACTGGAGTGTACGAAGTATATCACAGGTGTAAATTAGATTCAATTATAATAGGTCTCATATTTGTCCAGATTTTAAAGTGCTCAGAATTTTGTCATTTCGATACCTATTAGTCTTATTCGTGTCATTATTTCTTGATTATTTCTATACAAGGACCATTTTGGGTGTACACAAAATTTCTATATTATTTGTGTATAAGCTAATTAAGAGGATTTTGGCATCAAATCATGTCTCATTTTAAATGAATTGCAAGTGTACATAGACAACTAGGAGAGTTTTGTGTACATTTTGTGTACAATTCATGTACATTAAGAATTTTCCATTTTGAATACTATTTATGTGTAAAAACAAAAATGTTTGGTGTATTTGGTGAACACTATATAAACATTCCCCCTCCCTCCTCTCTTCTATTATGGATTATGGACCTCCCCTCCCTCCCCTTTTCTACATTCTTTCTTTCTTTTTTCTTATGACAACAATAATCTCACATTTTAGCAGTACTCTCAGAATAAACTTATATTTATGTAATTCCAAAATAATCTTCTTTCATCAGGTTTTCCCTTTTTGATAACCTTACACAAACAATTTCACCCTCATCGATCTTCCCAAAACTATCTCATATGTCAATTTTCTCTTTTCTTACTATATATTTTCTTTTTTTTATCATCTTGGCACTTTTTTCGTTTTTTTCATCTTCTTATTAATTTATTTATTCTATTTGTTTATGTATTTCCTTTCAACCTGATAAGTTTTTTTTATAGAATTTCTACTCAATGAATTTTTTCTTCTTTCTTCTTTTTCTTCTTCCTCATTTTCGCTCTGTCTCCATTTTGTGTATTACTATTTGATTAATTCTCTTTTAAATATGTTTAACCTGCACTACTCATTGTTATTTTATTTATTTATTTATTTCAATTTTTTCTTTTCTATTTAGTCTCCTTTTTCTCCTTTGTTTCCCTTTTCATCATCTTAAAAGTCGTTATTTTTTCTTTGTCCCTATTCACATCATCCCATTTCGCTAGTTTTGGATATAGTATTGACTTGTTGTTCTAGATGTATTCTTACTTTTTTTCCCATTTTCACCACTCACCTGTCACTTTCCGTGTAAAGAATTACATCATTTTCTTTATTTCTTATTTTTCTTTATATTTAATTTTTTCCTAATTTTTTTTCACAAAAAGTTCATTTGTAATTGATAGAAATAATGGGTGAATTTACTTAGAAAAATACGATGATGCAGAAAGAAGAAAATAAAAAATATTTTGATGATGAAATTAAGGTAACAAGAAAAAAGAAAAGGAGAAAGAAGAAAAAACAAAAGTATCAAGAAGGAAAAGGGGGGAAGTTAAAATAAAAAATGAAAATATATTAAAAATAGATTGGGAAAAAGATCAATTATAAAAATAGAATGATTAAGAAGAGAAATATATAATGGGGGTAAAATATACATTTGATTTAGGAAAAATTCACATTAATAATTTGAAGTATTAGGAGTCTTCCAATATTAATCCCACGTATGAGTTATTCTAGTATAATCTCATTTATAAATCTTCTCAAAATAATCCGGTGACCTGAATAAACCTATCCAGCAGGTAATCGGAACACGTGGCATGTTTTGATTGGTTTTCCATTATTTTTTGTTTTATCTTTTCATTTGTTTCCTGATTTCTATTCCTTTCATCTTCCACCGTTCCAAGTCTGTTATTTTCTGGCTAGGAAGCCGCCGCCCTCCCTATCATCTCCAAAAGTAAACCGACGTCTGTTGCTTCAATTCGTCTCTGCCAGAAGTTGACACCCCCCTTTTGACCATGAAATGGGATACCGCGGTGCGACTCAGAAGATAGAAAATCTTCGATTAAGATCCAAAAAGTTTCTGCAGCTAATTTAATTCCCACTAGTTCATTTAGGATATGTGAATTAGCTCCTCTCCCAACCCGTCAATTGCATCTGGAGGACAAAAAGAATACCAGGAAGAAGGCCACAAGGGAGGAACTAAGGAATGGAAAGAGAGAAAGGCAATAGCAAAGAAATATTAATAATTAAAATAGGGAAAATTTGCTGCAGGCACGATGGAGAAGCATTCCCCACACCGTAAATTTTTCACCAGTTGTTGGTCGGAGAATCGCCGGAGAAGACAACCAGAGTAAAGGTCGATCCGTCATATGCTTTGCCATGTTTTCTGGTTGGCTAGCGTCGTCCAGCGACACCCACAAGGAGGGGAAAGCGGGAAAGCTGACCTCCATATCGCGGAGAAAATAAGAAAAGAAGAAAAAGAAAAATCATGGCTACTTAGAATAGGATAGGGAAGATGAATAGCGTATGAAAGGAGCTGGTCAAAATGAGTCGTTGAACAAACTTCCCCTCTTTGCATTTCATTGGTTTTACTTTTACCCGTTGAATAAGTTGTAGGTCATCAGGATCAACCAGAGAAGACGACTTATTAATTTTGGACTATTTTAGAATCACTTATATTTAGGATTAATATTGAAAGACTCTTAATAGTTGGGATTATTAATATGAATTTTTCCTTTGATTTATGTAGGGACTTACCTCAAGGGCTATCAACGATTGTAAACGCGAATGCTAACTTGAAAACTCACAAATTGGTTCCTAGTACCAAAATAAGATCATAGGATAAATGTTTAACCATTTGAAACCAAATAAAACGAAATAAAATGCTAGAATTCGGTCTTATCGAAAGATTACTACGTAGTGGAAAGTTTGCAGCACCCAAAATCGATCACCTTGGATGGTTTTTTGAAAAAAGGACCCTATTTATTATACCTAAAGGCTAAAATTAAGTATTTGAGCTGGAATCAATGTGTACAGACATGTGTGTTGAGCGCTTTGCGCTCCTCTAACACATGCATGCATTGGTCGACAGAAGCTGTGTATGGTCTCATGTGCGTGCGGTCACATCACATTTCTCGATCGTGTATACCGGTGAACACCATGTGTGGTCTTGTGCGCATTTGGCAGAAACCCACTTGCCACGCAATGTCGTGCGTCCGTACGCGTCTGGTAGGCTCTCCAACTACGTTTTGCTTTGATTTTGAACTTATCGGTCACGCTCTTACCCAAAACAATAAACCAAGCTTAATTAAGTCATTTATGACCCTTCCCAAGCCCAAATACATACTTATTTCCAATTTTAAATCTTGAGGTGTCACATGAACAGTTGAGAAAGTAGAAACGAGGTATACGTAGATTGAGAAACACATTTTGACTTTGATCGCCACCATTAAGAAATTAGCCCTGTATTTCCATGCCCGCTCCATTGTCTAATACACCTCCCATCCGCTTGCGGCCATCCTCCAAAAGCTTTAATGAGTGGGAGAATCACCAAATGGCCCCACCCACTAACTAATACAATGTGGAGTTTTGCCGAAGACCGATCATCAAGGGTCAGACCTTGACAAATTTCGGGTAAGAATGCACAACTAAGGTGGAAGAAGGAGAATGGGTCGGAGGGGAAGAAGGGAGCTAGTGGAAGATTTTGACAAGGATGCGGAGGGGGTAGTGACAACAAATTTTTGGGAATAATAAGACATTAGTCTCATTTTTTTCATTTTGAGGTTTATTTACTC